TATGCCCTGACCCTCCTGCTATATGCCCTGACCCTCCTGCTATATGCCCTGACCCTGCACGAAGGAAAGAAGAGCGCCTTTCCCCCTCATCCCACCCAGTGGCCCAGATAAGTTAGACAGAATCTCTCCTTCCACTAAGTGTTTTATACCCAGCTCTAATTAGAAAGTTGTACGTGTAAAAGTTTACTATGTCACTTTTGTATGCCAGGTACTATGCTCAATTTTTATGTGTACTTATTTAATCCTCACAATGCCTTAATTTGCAGATGGAAAAACACTATCTGGCCTGAAGGTGCACAACCTAAAAGTGATTGAGCTGAGATTAAAAACTGTGCAGCCTATCCAGATTCAATAAAGTTACAGGATAAAAAATCAACATACAAAAATCTGCTGCTGTAAAAAAAAAAAAAATTAGTTGCTTTGTAATACAACAGCCAAGTATCTGAACCAAAAATCAAGAAAGCAATCCAATTTATAATTGCTACCAAAAAAATACTAAGAATAAATTGAGCCAGACATGAAAAATATCCATAATGAAAACTATGACATTTGATGAAAGAAATTGAAGAAGACACACATACAAAAAAAAAGGGAAGAATGTCTTGTGTCCATAGATCAGAAGAATCGTTATTGTTAAAATATCCGTACTATCCAAAGTGATCTACAGATTCACTACAATTCTTATCAGAACACCACAGATATCTTCACAGAGCTAGAAAAAAAAATCCCAAAATTTGTATGGAATCACACACACACACACACACACACACACACACACAGAAAGTAAAAGCTACCTTGTGTAAAAAGAACAAAGCAGAAGGCATTATATCACCTGACCTCAAAATATACTACCATAGTAATCAAACAGTAAAAACAGACCAGAGGAACAGAATAGATCCCAAAGGTAAACCCAAATGTCTGCAGCCAACTGACTTTTGGGTAAGGTGCTAAGAAGTTGGACAAAGGACAAGTTTTTTTACTCAAGGATGCTAGCAAAATTATATATCCACACGTAAAAGAACAAACTAGATCCCTATCTCTGACCAATTTTTTAAAAGTCAACTGAAAATTACAGACTTAAACATAAGACCTAAAACTATGAAACTACTGGAAGCGAACATAATGGAAATGCTTTCAGACATCATAATGGTCAAGGATTACTATAGATTAAATCCCCACAACGCTGAAAACAAAGGCAAAACATGCAAATGGAACCCAGTCAAACTAAAAAGTTTCCGCTTAGCAGAGGAAACAACCAAGAGAATGAGGAGACTATCCCAGAATGGGAAAAAATATTGCAAAATATACATCTGAGAAGGGGTATCCAGAGTGTATAAGGAACTCAACTCAATAACAATGAAAAAATTTCAGTTTAAAAATGTGCAATAGAACTGGGGAGCTAGCTTGGCGGTCTAAGTGCTTGCCTGGCAAGCACAAGGACCCAGGTTCGATCCCTGGTACCACAGGCTGTGCCAGCCCCAGAGCCCCAGCGAGTGTGCTATGCCAGCCACCGAAACCGGGTGTGGTGGCACATGCCTGTAATCCCAGTAGTGGGGAAACTGAGAGAGGAGGATCACTATGAGTGCAAGCTGTGTAGCAAGACCCTGTACCAAATAAATAAATAAATAATTTAAATAAAGAAAAGATTAAAAAATAAAATAGACAATACAGGAAGTAATTTGCACCAAGCCGGCAGCTGCAGTAACTACAGTTTCAACTTCAACTCCACGATGTTTCCCTTGGCCAAAAACACATTAGGTCATTTTCCAGTGCAAAGCATTCAATAAATGGTAACAAGGCAGAGCCACCAGAAACGTACACTGGATTTCCATGACAAATGTGGTAATGCTATATTAGTTGGTGGAGTCACATTCTGTATTGCTGCATGGACCTGTACAGCAACACAAATTGGAATAGAATGGAACCTTTCCCGTTGGCAGAGTCACCCCCAAGGACTGGAGAGATCAGTAATCGTGCCAGCTGATAAGATACAGCTAAATTATTTCTAAATGGAATCATAATTGATGCCAAGTAAAAGTGCTGTGTATCCATTAAAATATAGCCTACTGAAGAAATAAAGTACAATTGAAAACTTCAAAAAAAAAAAAAATAGACAATGCAAGCTAGGCACAGTTGTCTGCACAGTGGTATATACCTATATGGTCCAAGCTACTAGGGAAGCTGAAGCAGAAGGATCACTTGAACCTACAAGTTTGAGACCAGGCTGAGCAATATAACAAGGCCTAGTCTAAACAGAAACAGAGAGGAGTAATAGACTTCAACAGACAAATGACCAGGTGTATGAAAAATGCTCAATGTCACTAATCATCAGGGAGTGCAAGTCAAAGCCACAATGAGCTATCACTCTACTCCAGTAAGAATGGGCATTTCCAAGAAGACAAAGAATAACAAGTGCTGACAAGGGAACCCTTGTGCTACTGTGAGCAGGTACAGCCGTTACTGAAAACAGCGTGGAGATCCTTTAAAAAATTAAAAATAGAGTCTCCCAAAGAGGCAGGAAGATGGCACAGGAACATCAAAGACACAGCCTCTCTAAGATTTATGTCCAGACACTGGAATATAGCAAGATGAGGAAGACAAGAAGGAGAGAAGTGGATCCCAGGACCAGCAAAGATCTGAACTGAGAACTGAAGAGAGGGAAAGTGGGACCACAAAGAGAGAAACCTCAGTGCAGAAGGAGGTGGCAAGCAGTGCTTTACCCTGAGCCCTGACTCACTGTGTAGACAGAAGGGCAGGTCAAATCTGCAGATGCATGGTGACTACTGGTGAGTCCAGAGGCCTCCACAGTGGAACAGAGCAGTGGACATACCAACTGCAGTGGCTGGTGAATTATTCTGGCGCAAACATCACTTAGGAGCAGCAGATTGGCCTATAGCCATCTTGCAGAGAGCTCAACTGAGCTTGGAACTCAAAACAGCTGCAGGCTGGCTCCATCTAGTGGCTCCTAGTGGGGTGAAACAGTTCAAGTCAGGAGCAGGTCAAGGAGCTAAATTCAATCCTGAAGAGAACTGAGGTCAAGCCCACAGGAAGTACACGGAGTGTTGCAGGCTGAACAAATTAGGTTCCAGCCTCACAGCCAAAATCCAGCCTGGCTGAACTTCAGTGGAATTAGAAGTGCAGGCTGGCTGGGATAATCCACTACCCTGCCATATCTACATCCAATTTGTTGAGATTAATCAGCACAAACCTGGGCTCTATCTGCCCAGTCAGTCATCTAGAGATAGCAGAGACACACCCTGAAATGGACTTGTTTTTCTTTCTTTCTTTTTTTTTGTATTTAGTACAGGGACAATAGGGCCTACAGGATCTCACTACATAGATCAGACTCGTAGTTATCCTCCTGTTTTAATCCCTCCCAAGTGCTGGGATTACAGGTGTGTGCCACCATGCCCAGTCTCAATCGCTTCTCAGCACACCCCTGGAGCGGGGCCAGCATGGGAGGCCCAGGGATCGAACTCCAGGGCCCTGAGTCTGCCTAAGCAGGAGCTTTAATCTACCAAGCTATTTGGCTGGCCCTCTTTTGTTTTTTCCATATCATTTGTTTTTGTGTGAGGATAAACATTATTTCTTTAATTTCCTTCTTGTCCTTGTTCTATCCTTGTTTCTATTTCATCCTTCTCTCTTCCCTCACTCTTTGTCTCCAGTTTCTCAAAAGTTTACATAATGTTTTTTCCTTCTCCAACCCTGCTTCTAATCTTTTCCTTTTCTTCTACTTCTCTATTTTCCCCCAACATCTTTCAAACTTTCTTCCCTGAGGATAAAGTTGCTGTAATGAGGACATATTTACTGTATTAAAAAATTCTGTTTTCAGATTTTGTTATATAACCACAAATCTAGTTCACATGTTTAAAGTTGGCAAATAGTTACCACAGTTTGGCATTTTCTAGGCTGTGTTTGATGCTATTGTATTGCTGATAGTACTACGTTAGCAAGGTGACATAATTATTCTAATCAGTTGCTCTTCCTGGTGAGCCAACACTACAATGAAACCTTAGACTTCCTAGGGGCCATAATACTATAGGCCAACGCCAAAGGACCAGGAGCTAGGCCAAAGAGGCAGCAAAACGTCATGCCTGATAAATTGAAGAGGTAGAATCTTTTTTTTTTTCCCCTGTCTTTTTGAGGCAGGGTCTTGCTATTCAGTTCAGGCTGTCCTTGAGCTCACTTTGTAGCCCAGGCTAGTCTCAAACTTGCAACAATCCTCCTACCTCAACCTCCTGAGTGCTGGAATTACAGACATGCACCAGTATGCCTGGTGAAGAGGTAGAATTTCACAACCTAAAAACCAGATACATCTGGAAACGTCTATGAGATTTATTCATTTCCTAAGAGTTGTGAATACTAGCAATAAAGCTGATCTTTGTAAGCAATTTACAAGCATCAACCTAGGAATCAAACTATCTTGAAATTATACTACAAAGCTACAGTGATAAAAATAGTATGATATTGGCAAAAACAACAACAGAAAACACACAGATTCTGGGATCCATGGAACAGATTAGAAGATACAGAAATACCACCTTATCTTTGACAAAGGAGACAAACACCATCACTGGAAGAAGGATAGACTCTTTAATAAATGGCACTGGACTATGATGAATGTGATTATTAAAATGAGGTATAGAAAGTAAAGCCATATTAATATGGTGAGCTGTAAAAGGATCAAGTCAGCAACTTCTGACATTGCCAGTCCTATGGATACCCCACTACAATTATGGACTACTGGACTATATTGAGATATTTTGCTGAATTCACGCATCACCTACAATATTTAAATGACAATGGAATACCCATCTCTGACAAAATTAAACAAAAAAAGGGGATACAAATGAAGGACCATTTTATATTTGTATATTCAAAATAATTAGGATAGATATACAGCTACTTTCTCTTGATTCAATGAGTAGAAAGATTTGTTCTAATATTTGTGGACAGGATACCATGTCTGCATCTTGTACTATAAATAACCCCTAAGAAGACAACAATATGTAATGTATTAATTATTGAAACTGTCCTACAAAAAAAAAAAGAAACTGTCCTACTAATCAGTTTTGAAACTGTCTCATTGCTATTTGTTTCTCAATAAAATTATTTTAAAAAATAAAAATTAAAATGTACCGATAAAAGAAACAAACAAACAAAAAACAACCCATACATGCCAACAAAAAAATTAGTAGGGTTTCATAAAAGTACTAAAGGTAAAACTACCAAAAGTCCTATCTTATCATATAGTATTCGTTCTTTTTCCTCATCCATATTTTCTTTTTTTCATTTGTTTTCTTTTTGCTTTGTTGCTGTTTTTCACCCCTTTCCTCACCCATACCTTACTCTCAGGTGTCTACTATGACCCCTCCTGTACTCAGAATGTGAATCACGGCGTAGTTGTGGTTGGCTATGGTAACCATGATGGGAAAGACTACTGGCTTGTGAAAAACAGGTAACACATTTGCATATTAATGTATCATTAGTGAAATAAAGTGTGCTCTGTGAAGATGATGGGGATATTGACAGTAGTAAGCACAGACAGCTTCCTGCAAACTGACATTCTAAATTATTCAGTGCCCTTACTTTTCTAATTTCTATCCTGCCTTATTTATTTATTTATTTATTTATTTATTGGCAGAACCGGGCATTGAACTCAGGCCCTTGCGCTTGCCAGGGAAGCACTTATTCCTCTGAGTCATCTCCCTGGCCTTCTATCCTGTCTTTATCTCTTTGTTTTCAAGATTTATCTTCTACTATACTTCTCTATTCTTTTTTAGCCCCTCTTATGAATATCTATCCCTCTACTTAGTCTCTAATGGTTGGTTAGTTATCCCAGGGCTCCATCCAACAGCCATTACTATTTTTCCTTCACTCTTTCTTCTCTTCTCCTTCCTCTTCTTTTTGGGACAGGGTCTTTCTCTGTAATTAAGACTAGTCTTGAACTCACCATGGCCTCGAACCAGCAGCAATCCTCCTGCCTCAGCCTCTTGAGTTGTATGTGGCACCACACATGCTGGCTATTCTTCTTAGTCTGTATTTTTTTATACCATTCTATTCTTAGAATTTTAGCCATAACTTATATGCTGCTGGCTCCTGAGTCTTTCTCCCTAGCTCTGATATCTACCTAGAACATCAGACTTATCTGATCACATTCACTTGCCTGTATAGTAATCTCTCCTAATTCATTGTGGCTGGCAAGTGGCAACTAACTGAAAGGAATCACACACACACACACACACACACACACACACACACACACACACACACTCATGAAAGAATTTAAGGTAAGATTACAAAATTATGACACACTAGTGTCATAAACTATCTTCTGGGCCAAGAAGAAGTAAGTTGAGGGTGTTAAACTAAACAAAGAGATAACAATAAGACTGGAACTGTGTCCAGTGAGGACTGATTCAAGGCCTTTTCAAGCACGGCCCCTTAAATTATCCCACTTGTTTTCTAGAAACAAAGCTGCACCTCTCAGTTTCACTTCCTGCAAATATGCAGTCTTCCTTTAAGTCCCTGAGGGAAACTTTGCAAGAGCTTCCCTTGCCTGAGGAATTAAAAGGATAAATTCCTGGGCTAGGGCTTCTCAGTTTATGACAACATGGCCTCAAAGCAACCTTCTATTCTTTTCCAGCCATTCCGCTAGAGATATCCAGTTTTGCTTTCAACTAAATTTCTCCCTGTTTTTCAAACAAGCTAGGCATTTTTCAATGCTATGCTCTTATTTATATCTTAATTACAGCTATTAAGTTTGCCTCATGTAATAATTATAACAATTACAAAAATCTCAGAATCATAAAGAACTTCAGAAATCAGTTCTGTTGAAAGGATTTTGTCAGTTTTTTCATTAGTTTGTGATGAAATGAAAAAATACATATTTTTGTGACTTTTCCATAATGTAAATCTATTTGATACAAAGGATTTTTCTTAGAGAATATGTCCTCTGGTTTTTGTTTTTGGTGTAAAATGTCTTCTCTTTTTCTGACATGATGGTGGTACTAAATAATTTGATGTCCATTTATGCTAATTTAAACTGGCAGTTTGGGGGGCCTGCCCCTTAGCTCAGTTCTTTAAGTGGCTGCTTCAACAAAGCAGTCAGGCTCAGGTTGCTGTGGTTCGATCCCCACAACTCAAGCCAGCCAAACCTGCACTTGAAGTCATTTGGAGAAAAAAAAAAAAAAAAAAAAAAAAAAAAAAAAATCCTTATAAAACTGACAATTTGATGTCAATCTAAATTTTTTTTTAAAACCCTCTGTTCCATGGAATCAAAAAGTAAGCAAACCATTGATTTTCTCTAACGACTGTCTGACCCAAAAATTCTCTCCATAACATTCATAATGAATTACACAGCAAGGCTGTGCTTAAACACATCCAGCACCAGAGAGCTCTTGTCTTCACAAAGCAGCACATTCCTTTTTTTTTCATTTCTATATTTGGTACAGGCTCTCACTACACAGGTCAGACTCATGATTCTCCTATTGTCAGCCTCCCCAGCACTGGTATTACAGACCACCACACCGGACTCTGTCGCTGGGCTCAGCGTGCCCCGGGGGTGGGGCCAGTGAGGCACGTGGGATCTGCAGAAAGCTTTCAGAACTGCACCACTTATCCCTTACTTGAGAATTCCCTGTGCTATGATATTTTCATAGTAGCCACTCATAAAACTTCTTAAGAGGTATTCTCTGAAGAAATTTGAGTCTGTTAGAAAGAGCTAGCCAGATAGCTCAGCAGACGCAGCGGCTGGTGCCAGTCCAGCTCCGGGGGCGCGCTGAGCCGGCGATTGAAACTGGGCATGAGATGCGCCTGTAATCCCAGCATTTAGGAAACTGAAAATAGGAGAATCACTATGAGTCCGATCTATGTAGTGAGACCCTGCAGACCCTGTCCTAAATTCATAAAAAAAAAAAAAAAAAGAAAGAAAGCCATCATCCATGATCCTTTTGCACAGAGACATTTAGAGATGGGACCCCATGGAGTGTAATACTCTTCCCCTATACAAGGTATATTTACAAAGAGCATTAAAAGGCTGGAATGGACACAATATTGTTCTCCTTAGGTCTTAAGTCTACTCATCAATGCAGACTAAAGCCTTCCAAACTATCTTTTGGATATTGAAAATTGCCCAAAATCCCTGGGGAAGTTATTATATTATTTCATTCTAATTATGTTTTTATAACTTTGAATATATAGTGACTTTAGTAGAAAAACAAAAGGTTAAAAAAAGTTGTATGCTTTGATTGTACTCACTTCTAATTTCGGTATTACTTTTTCTACAGCTGGGGCCTCTACTTTGGTGATCAAGGATATATTTGGATGGCAAGAAATAGTGGAAATCATTGTGGAATCGCCAGTTATGGCTCTTACCCAGAAATCTAGAAGATCTCTTCATTTTAAAACAAGTCAAGGAAATGAAAAACTGTCTTTTAATTTTATCTGCTGTACACATGTCATGATCAGTGTATGTTTAGCATACTAATTAGAAAACATAGTTTGCTTCTTCACTTTATAACATTGAATATCTCTTTAAAAAAGTTTGCAAAGTAAATTAATAATGTGCTATAGATATTAAAAGTAAGGACCAGGGAGATAGCATAAGTGCCTGCCTGGCAAGTGCAAGGTCCTGAGTTCAATCCGTGGCACCAAAAAAGCAAAAAACAAGAAAACTACCTTACCTGAAACCTTTTATAACTTCCTGACCTAAGAGAGCTCAATAAATCTATCATTTTAAATTTCTAAAATTGCCACATACTCTATTCAAGTTATTCTTTGTTAACTATTAGACTCACTTATGAAAATGTTCATTGCTCTACAGCAGTGATGGGTCATACAAATTGTAATAGAAAATATTAGGTTATAAATATCCTGAGGGCATAATCATCAATGCACATAAAAGAATTCAATAAATATTTTTAAAATTAAATCAAGTTATGGTACAGTACACAACTGCTTAGAAGTTAAGCAGTTTTCAAACAGCTTGGAAGAATTATTATTTTTGTTTATCTCTGCAGGGCTGGGAATCAAACCCAAGGTCTTCCCCATAGTAGGCAAATGCTCCAAAGCAGCTACAAAGCTTTGGCCCAGGATGAATTATTTTAATAATCAACATTTTAATATATTAGTTCAAATTATTTTCACTGAAGCATCAACAAGTCAACCAAGGCCTTTTTTGGGCAAATAATTGAGTCAACCAAAATAAACTGATTTCTTTTTTTTTTTTTTTTTTTCAGAACCGGAGACTGATTTCTTTTAAAATGCTTCACTATAGTACTTACATTTTTGTCTAATCCCAATGAATCTTCCTCATAATTGCTCCAAATTAGTAGATAGGCCATGAACAGGTAACATGAATTTTAAATTTTATACATTCAAGCTTATGAGATGAAAAATGTATAGGATGACATCATTAATATATGCTAAACTGACCTTAAAATGATTCACTGTCTTTGTTTCCCTCTCCATAAAACACATTTTGAGGAATAAAAATTGACTGGTACATGCCTATGATCTCAGCATTCAAGAGGCTGAAACAGGAGGAATAGTATGAGTTTGAGGCTAGCCTGGGCTGCATAGCAAGATCCTTTCTCAAAAAAAGAAACGAAGGAAAGAAGGAAGGAAAGAAGGAAGGAAGGAAAGAAGGAAGGAAGGAAGGAAGGAAGGAAGGAAGGAAGGAAGGAAGGAAGGACGGACTTGCCAAATATAAAAGCATTACCAAGTTGGGCGTGATGGCATAGGCCTGTAATCCCAGTACTCGTGAGGCTGAGGCAGGAGGATCACTGCAATTTCCAGGCCAGCCTGGGCTTAAAAGTGACTTCAAGGCCAGCCTGAACTGCATAGCAAGACCTTGTCTTAAAAAGACAAAAAAAGAGAAAAAGTTTAAAAACCCTGTTTCAAAAAGACAACAAAAAACATGGTCATAATATCATAATACATGATAAAGAGTATAGGGAAATGTTACAGTTAAAATATTTAGTTCAGGGCTGGTGAGATGGCTCAGTGGTCTAAAGCACCTACTTAGAACAAGCT